TAATTGAAGAGAATTGGCAGTATAAAAGGTGACTAAAAAACTTTGGATGAAAATAAAAGACAAGAAGACGAAAAAAGGAACTTTAGATGAATTTTTGAATTACACGCTCGTGATGCCTTTGGATTACACTCATGAAAACGAAATTTAATGGTTTAAAATTTGAAACATTTTGATTTTTGCAAAAACGATTTTATCGATCGCCGTTCGAAGCGATTTATTAGGTTTCACATAAATTAAGTTGAACTACATAAAAATGTAATAGACCTGAAGGTGAATTGCATGGCTGCGTAATAAATTGACTAGTTTTTGACGTGAAACATTTTATTTGCCTGAAGATTTGGTGTCAAACTCGTAAACGAAAACTTTTGTGTTTTTATTGGAAACTTTCTAATCGTTTATTTTCTAAGAAATTTGAATTACACCTTACGGATTTACTTGGTAGCTCCGTATTACGCCGCCTTTTCTTTATTTTCTAGCTTTTTGTAATTAATTACCTTTGAAATTAATTAAACTGAACTACACTGGAGAGGTCATTTGGCTTGAAAAATCAGCATACCGACAGTAGAAAAAAGAGCCATTGTCTTTAAAATATAGATAAAAGCACAGTCATATTTGGAAACATCGTTTTTTCCACCTTGACGCCGTAAAATGTTACATGTTACATACCTGGTGGGAGGGCTGGGGCGCCATTTCCTAAAAAAAAAATTATTAATATTTTAAGGCGCTGTTGGAACTGTTCAAAATGAGTTCCATTTAAAAAGCATAAAATTAATATCATTTTCCTCTTCTAGACCTACCGCCCGGAACTTGGAAGAGCGGGACGTCGGTGATCAGGCCACCTTGTTGACTGTCTAAAATTTGGCCATTTTCGAGGTGCATTTGCATTATCGGGGAAGGGGGTTTCTATATCTAAACGTCAAAAATATTTACGATTTTTCATAAAAATCGAAAAAGCTAATGTCGAAAAGTAGCTGATTTTTCACCAAAATACAATCTTTCGGAATGTCAAACCGTTTTCAATTTAGGGACTTTTGCTGTTGCTGGCTTCGAATTAAGCTAAAATCCGCCGGAAATTAAAGGTATCCAGGTGAAAGTTAAGTTAAGAAAGAAAGAAGTATACCTGAGATGTCCGCATCATCAAAAGAGATCGACTGGCCGTTGCCGCCTAAAAAAACCACGCGTCAAAAATGTTCAAGAAATGTGTTTTTAAAAAACTGACTAAAGCCAATTTTTTTAGTCCCTCTCCCGAAGTCGTTATGAGAAATTGAAAAAATTTAGATTTAGTCCAATTTGTCCGATTTTGAAGTGATCGGAAAAGAAATGTTTTGGAGAAGAATGTGGCGCAGGGTTTTCCTGAGCCCCCAATTTCCAATCGGATTGGCAATGGCAACCATCTAAAAAAATTTCAAAATTTTAAGAAGGTTGTTAAAATTTGTATTTTGAACAAGTCGAATAAATAAAAATTTTAACGTTTTTACGTTTTAGCAAAGAAAAAATGGTTCAGAAACGCTTACTCTATTATTGCTAGGTAATCGACTACTGTAGAAAAGTTTATCCCCTCCACATTTTTATTTTAATAAATTTTTACGCCCTTATTATTCTTATTCTCAGGTTTAAAGGGACGGGCAAGGCGAGACCGTAGCTTTTCTAGGCTACGGATTTGCTGGGTTTAAGCGCCACGCGGACGCAGCTTCGCGGCGCCAAACTTGAAGTCGTAACCAATAAGGGATTACAGCGAGCCGGGCCCCTTGCATGTTGCGTTGCGGAAAAACATATAAAATCCATAGCCCTAAAATTCATCGGCATGCCTTGCCTGTCCCTTTAAAAATTCGAAAACGTCGCTAACTCACCGGGTCCAAAATGGCTGGCCGTCGTCGGATTTGCCGGTCCTGGTCCGCCTCCATTGACTGGCAAAATTGAGTTAAGTTGAAAACTGGTATTTATATTAAATTTAGTTTCTTGTCCATTAACGGGGGGGGACAAGCCGTTTTCCACCAATTTTTCAAATATAATTTTGTTTCATTTTCAAACATAAGTTGTTTCTAAACGATTTTTTTACTCTTCTTAAGCGTAAAAACAAAGTTTTTTTTTGTGATGAAATTTATAAATTTTGCATTCTTTACGTATTCTTATAATTTATATATTCGAATATTTCCTTTTCATCTAAAAATTTATAGAAAATCTGGAAAAAAAGTCGAAACCTACCCGGAGCGAGTGTTGTCCCCAACGCAGGCCCGGGTCCGAATTTCACTAAAAACGTTTGTTTAATCAGTAATCACCCGCTAAATGTTTGTATTTAAATGAAGAATTTATGTATTATGTTAAATGCCATTTGGAGCATAAACTTTCGCCAACAATTTTTATTTTTTGAAAATCTATGTTTCATATTTCTCCAAAACTTTTAAAATCATGGATGCGGCATTACATCGTAGGCTGGACTCGGCAAATTTCTCCATGGTTCAATAAAATTCTTTAGAAAGTCTTTAAAAATAGAGCTTTAAAGTTTTAGAATTAAAAAAATAAAGTTTAAAAAATCTTTAGATCAGAAAATTGTAGCCGATATTAAAAACTTACAAAACCCACGTTTGCTGCGCAGGCGTTCGTGCAGGCTTGCTAGACAAAAAAGTGAGTTTCAAAAAATTGGAAGACTCTGGGTTTTGGCGGTTTCCTAACTCGCGAATTTACCTTGCGCAAGGGCCAGCGAGCCGGCAACGACGAGGAATACGGTCTAAAACAATAACATTTTAATACTCGTAATATTACGGAATTAATGCCCGTAATGAAATTTTGTTTAAATTAAGGCATGGAGCCAAACTAAAAATCCTTTACGACGAGTAAATATAAACAGATAATCTGTATTTTAGTGCAATTTTACGGAAGTTATGAAAATTAAATTAAATTAAAAATGGATTAGTCATGATATGTTTGTATGATTTCATTCGAATTTCAAACATAAGATTGAAAGAAAGCGAAAAGGAAAATAAAACTTTAGAAGTTAGAACTTTTGGTGTGATTTTCCTAATCTGGTTCAAAATGAATCAAGCAAGCCATTTTGCAAAAGAAATGTTTTCTGGGTTTGGTGAATTTCGGAATAAATACCTTGAACAAATATATTTACGACTATGAAGGACTTAAATAAATGAAATTAAAGTTAAATTGAATTGATATATCAGTGCACCTTTTAGCCGAAAAATATATTTTGTACATTGGATATCTATGGAAGTAATAAAAGCGTAAAACTGGAATCAATATGGAATAAGCGACTAAAGTATAATTTCGAGTTTCAACAAAAAAATAATAAGTATATTAAAATTTAAAAATGTCATTTTTATAAATATGTATATTCCCATCAACTTTTGACCAAATGAATATAATTCGAGTTAACATAGAGTAATAAAAGGTGTTACTAAAATTTAAAAATGCTTTTTATAAACATATATTTAAAATTGTTAAAATTGTTTGTAATTGCAAATTTAAAAACCTTCCTTATAGTTTTCATACTAAAATTCTACAAAAAAAACGCACCTGGGCGCGCATGTTTTGTCGAGCCACCGTTTTCGAAATTCGAAGATATGCTTCCGGTTGAAAAAGCGTGTTTTATATACGGCAAGCTAGCGGTAGCAAAGATTTACGACAGTTCCTCCCCGTCTTTTTACTCTCACGTTCCCGCCGCTCTCTCCCCCACTCCCAGTTCCCAGGCGTAAAAATCGGAATTTCCAATGCGTAAATGGGAAGGGAACCGAACTGGGGGAAGCTGTTTTTTTTAGCAATAGAGGGAGGCCAAGGTATATGGTTGTTTAAATGACCAGGGAAGGCAGAGGAAGCCACGCCCCGTTTTGTTGGAGCGAGAATGGTAGTGTCAGCATCCCTTTAAAACTTTAACACACCAATAACGAAAAAAGAGAGAGAGAGGGAGCGAGAGAGAGTGAGGGAGAGTGCGATAGTGAGAGCGAGAGAGCTAGAGAGTGAGAGTGAGGAGAGAGAGCGAGAGAGTGAGAGCGAGAGAGAGAGAGAGAGCGAGAGGGAGTCAGAGAGAGAGAGAAAAGAGAGCGAGCGAGAGAGGGAGAGGGAAAGACAGAAAGGGAGCGAGAGAGAGTGAGTGAGAGTGAGTGAGAGAGTGAGAGCGGAAGAGCGAGAGTGAGATAGAGAGAGAGCGAGAGTGAGAGCGAGAGAGAGAGACGAGAGAGGGAGAGGGAAAGAGAGAAAGGGAGCGAGAGAGAGTGAGTGAGAGTGAGTGAGTGAGAGCGGAAGAGCGAGAGTGAGATAGAGAGAGAGCGAGAGTGAGAGCGAGAGAGAGAGCGAGAGAGAGCGAGAGGGAGTCAGAGAGAGAGAGAGAAAAGAGAGCGAGCGAGAGAGGGAGAGGGAAAGAGAGAAAGGGGCGTGGACCTTAAGGCGTTGACAGATAGTTCTATTCAAATCTGCCATTTGAATCTGGAATGTAGCTGAATATTCCTGGAAGTTGCCTGTGATTTGCGCAGCAATCACGATATTAAACCGCGGCTTTTCGGAGTTTCTGCTGCTCGACTGTTTGCAATATCGTCTGACGGATACGTCTGACCAGCCTGGCGGGACTGGAGTTCCCCCTCACCGTCGTCATCTGCCTCTTCTCCCTCATGGTGGGTTGTTGCTGTTAAGCGACAAGAGCCAGGCATCTTTCTCTCTCTCTCACTCGCTCTCTCTCTCTTTCCCTCTCTCTCTCTCTCTCCCTCTCTCCCCACGCTTTGATAGGACGGATGGCTGAAAAGTTAGGGCTGGGGGTAAATTAGCCTCTCACATATTTTTCGCTGGATTTAAAATCGACAATTTTTGGCCAATTTGTGGAGGAAACCCTTGAAACATTTTAAATTCGGCTCTTCAGCAAATTTGGAAAACAGATTTGGAATCGGCAAAAAATTCTGCACAAGATAGGCTTGGAATCGAATGGAATTTCCATCCTATGTGTAAACACTTTACAGTCAACATCATGCTCCCCATTTCTGCTTTTTTAGGCCATACCTTCGATGCAAGCCCTCAATGATGAGGACGAGAAGACGTGTCTTGTGTACCTGAAGGCGGTGCGCACCTTTGACGAGGCCAACGCCAAGTTCCGGGAGCGCGTGAGGATTTTGACTACGGATTGTGGTTCTGGACTGTTAGCGGAGGGGGGGGGGGGAACCACTTTCTGTTTTTCGACCTATACCTACCGGTTGTTGATATATTATGTAAATTTATAGTGTATTTAGCAATTTTTGATTGCTACAAATTTATCAAACATATTTTTTTGAAAATTTGGAAATCTTTGGTCATTTTTCATACAGTTTTCGCCAAAAAGTAAAACATTTTTTTATATTTTTTATATTTTTATCTCTAAAAAACGATGTAAAATACAATAGAATGGGTTATATTTTGTTATAGAGCAAATTTGGAAAATTTGGTTCCCTCCCGTTAAACCCCCCCGCTAACAGTCCAGAACCTGGATGACTTTACGCCCCTCCCCCCCCCCTCAGCCGTAAGGTTTTTGCTCTAAGTTTTTTTATTTCACAATTTTTTTAGGCTCAAACTTAAATATTTTTCGACGTTCTATCGAATGGCATTGAGAAACCCCCGAAAAAATAATAAAAACCATAACCCGGAATAGGGGTTGTGAAGCCATTTTTTCCGGATATTCGATATTTTTCGACATTCTGTTAACGTTATTCGATGAAGCATCAAAAATATACTCAGAGCTTTAGAGACAGCTGAAAATGATATAACTAAAGAGAAGAGAAGCGCTTGACAAAAAAGGTCCCCCGCTAATGAACTAGAACCGAATATCAAAATCAGAACCTAAAAAAAATGTGTTTCGGCCTTGATTTTCGAGATTCTGATTTTCGAGGCTCGGTTAGAGTGCAGGGTAAGACTCTAGTTTACCCCCCCAGACGCCCCTTTTCTCTGCGCCCTCTCCCCCAGGCCTACTATCTCTTCGCCTGCGCCCTCCCCCCCAGGCCTACTATCTCGCCTGGGGGGGGGGTAAACTAGGGTTTAGCCGAGTGCAGTTTAGCCCACCCCCCAGCCGGCGCCCAACTTTTGTATCGCGGCTCTCCGTTTGTCTATGGGTGTGTAAAGTATATCAAATTGTTCGCCTTGCTCTGGCCAGTATTTTGGTATACTGTACGGCCCGGTAGGATAACGACAGAGCCGAAATACGGTCGGTGGGCATCGGCCGGGTGGGGGGGGAACTGCACTTAAAGGGATAGGGGCGGCATAAATCAATCGATTACGCGCGGGAAAGAAAAGGTCTCTGCGCCTCTCCCCTGGGCGCCCTCTCTCGCCGCCGGTCGCGCTGGGACCTGTTGAACCCCCCCCCCCCAAGGGGGGTTCAACAGATGCCGTCCTCATCTCTTTAAGCCCCCCCCCCCGCTATCTTACGTTTAACAGATAACCAACCCGATTTTTCAGGACCTGCTGTTCCGGTGTCTCCAGAAGCGCTGTCAGACGGGCGCTATCACCAAGGACGGGCGCATCGGCGAAAAGTGGCGTCGCTACGACGCCGTCCGCGTATCGAAGGGAGCCACCACCCTCATAGCGCCCGCCCGCGTGACCCAGGTACGATCAATTAACCAATTTTTGGGCTCTTTTGATTCTTTTCATTAATTTTTCCTTAGGATCCAAATTTTGAAATATGTTCCAATAAGTTTTACAGTTAGTGTTTCAAATTTTTTCAATATTCTGCAACGTAAAAGCGCACGAAATTTGCTTAAAACAATACCAGAAAAATATTTTGGGCAAAATTTCGAATTTTCCAAGAATCAATGGAAGCCTCTACATAGTTTTTCTGGTTGAAATATAATTTTATTTTACTAAGTACGTTGGAAAATACTCCGTAGCAAGTCATTAGTCCTTTTTAAACTCATTAAAAAATTTTTCATTTTATTTCCCTAAACCAAGTCCAAGCCTAAGCCTAAACCAAGCTCAAGCCTAAGCCTAAGAACCAACGAACCAGTCCTTTCTATTATGTATAGAGGAAACGGGCCGGTTGATCCCCCCCCCCCCCGATAATGCCAAAACACCGCCGTTTTTTTCAGCCCATCATTGACCACCCGCTCCTCGAGGACCTGAAGGATGTCAATTTGCAAGACCTCGAGGCCTACAGTCGTGCGCGAGAACAGGCGAAACAGTACGAGAAGCTCCCCCCTTGAAGAACTACACACGGTAACGTACAGTTTTGACGAGAAATCCATACGGTTCGGCTCTGGACTGTTAGCAGGGGGGAACCAAATTTTTGCCCGGTATTTTTCTACGGCCCTATGACCAAATTTAAATTATTCTATAGCATGTTACATAGCTTTTAGAGATCAAAACATATAAAAATCATAACAAATTGCTAAAATACTTGAATTTTTGGTGTGTAGGAAAAATGACCAAAAAGGCCAAAACCTTCCAATTTGCAACATTTTTTTTAATGTCTTTCTAGCAATCAAAAAACTGCTAAATACACTATAAAAATACATAATATATCAACAACCGGTCGGTATAGGTCGAAAAACAGAAAGTGGTCACCCCCCCCGCTAACAGTCCGGAACCGTATTTTCATAGCGTTTTTAGTAATATGAAACAATGTTTTAACTAAAAAAAACAATTTAAAAACTTTGAAAATGAAAATTGAATTGAAAATTGAAAATTGAAAAAAATGAAATGGAAAAGAAGGAAAATGAAACTTGGAATGCCGAATTTTTGGTTTTGCCAATTTTGTTTTGTATTTGTTAATAAACTTGTAAAATTTTGGTGTGTGAGATAGTCACACAATATTTAACAGTCACACAGTTTCGAAGAAACCCCCCCGATAATGCTTAAGAACGTACCGATGATAGAGTCACCAAAAAAAAACAGCGGAATATCGAAAAAGCTACCTAATTCCACCCCCCCCCGCTAAGGAACCAGAACCTTTGCGGGGAAATTCTTCAGAAATTGACAAAAACATCGAAAAAGGCATGTTTGTTCTGTCCGTTCCTGGCCTCGTGTAGCGTACAGATACCACCCGCCTTTTTGCGAGCCCCAACGCGTACCGCTTACAGATGGTCAGTCTCTTCTACACGAATGAACGAGAAGATTTGATGACTGATGTCGCCAACGCGCAGACGTCCATGCTCGCTGCGTTCACCGCCTACAAGTCGGCGGTAAGTTGGTCTCGCCCACAAGGGACCTTCTAAGGTCAAGGTCGCGTTTCGGTATTTGAGCCTTTCAAAACAAATGGAAATATCGGCAAAAAATTACGTTTCGCCCATGAATGCGTGGAGTCCCTCAAAATGTTTGCCGTGGTCGAATTACTATAAGAAAGTTGTTTTCTCGAGGCAAAATTATTTTTAAGATCTTTACAAAATTTCGAAACATATACAGGGTGTCCCAAAAAAAAGACCCCCCAAAAATTTGAGCCAGAGGGCACCTAAGGAGCTGAAAATTTGCACAGAGGTAGCGAAGCCAATTTCCCATGTTTATGGAAAGTTTGAGCCATATCGGCCGACGGGTTTTAAAGTTATAGCGAAAATACTTTTCATTTTTAATTTAATATGGGGATTTTTGCAATTTGCATCAAAAATATGCGTTATTCGTGAATTTACGAGCCGATTTTGCATAAATTTTGCCAAAAAATGCCATTCTCTTGCTGGAGCTTTTGGAAAACGCTTACTCATGCAGCGTGAAAACGATCAGCAAGACCGCTGAGTACAAGATATATTGGTTGAAACTATCGTTCAGCGCCTGAACTTCGCTTAGACTTTGGACTGACTTAAACCCAAGCCCAAATATAAACTTAAGCACCACTTAGAAGCTCATCGAACTCTGTTTCGGGGCTAGCGCGAAGCAGATTGCCAAAATGCACAATAAGGCGTGGTTTGGATCGATAAAACAGTTGTTTTCACACCCTTTTTACTCTTCATACGCAATCGTTCGCGCCATGCTCCAGCAAGAGAATGGCATTTTTTGGCAAAATTTATGCAAAATCGGCTCGTAAATTCAAGAATAACGCATATTTTTGATGCAAATTGCAAAAATCCCCATATTAAATTAAAAATGAAAAGTATTTTCGCTATAACTTTAAAACCCGTCGGCCGATATGGCTCAAACTTTCCATAAACATGGGAAATTGGCTTCGCTACCTCTGTGCAAATTTTCAGCTCCTTAGGTGCCCTCTGGCTCAAATGTTTGTTTCCACCTATACCTACCGGTTGATGCTGTACAATCAGTTTCTATAGTGTTTTTAGTAGTTTTTGATTGCTAGAAAGTTATAAAACACATTTTTAAAAATTTAAAAAATTCGGAAATTTTGGCCTTTTGGTCATTTTTCATACATTTTTCCCCAAAAAAGCTAAGAATTTGCGCAAATTTTTAATAATTTTTATATGGCTTTTTATCGCTAAAAACTATGTACATTTGCTATGAAAATCGTTGATATTTGGTTATCGGGCCGTAGAAAATCAGAGGGGAAAATTTGCTTTCTGCCCGTTAAACCCCCCGCTAATAGTCCAGAACCATTTTTCATAGGTTTTGATCAAAAAATCAATAATTTTGGATCCTAATTTTTTACTCTTTATTTAAATGTTTTCTGTTTTATCTAAATTGTTTCCATTTCAACATGATCAAATGTAAACTCAACCGGATGATTTTCATTTTGCCGAAATGTCATTTTTTTGTAATTTCAAGGATTTCCCAGATTGTTCATCTCAAATTTTCGCAAATTGAAATTTCGGCCAAGTGAGATTTCGACGAGATGGTTTTCGCAAACTGAGCAAATCTACTCAACCGTTTTAGATGGCAGAGTGTATCGCCGGTGTCGACGAGATCATGTCCAATGCTGCCAACCAGTTGCCGCGGGCCGAAGACCACGATGTCCGCATTGGAGCGGGTAACAGCCCCGAGGGTGAAGCTGAAGCTCCTCTCCACCTGGAGGTACTCTTTCATTCCTGACCAGTGTTGTAAAGGGAAGGGCAGTCCGGATTTTAACTACGAGCCGCTCCAAATGCCGTTTTTTAAAGTCTAAACTCCTGGAAAAGCAAAGCCACGCTCAAGCTTAGACTTTGCTTCATAAAAACGAAGCCATAGCTTAGCTTGAGGCCAGCTAGGCTCCGCTCTGAGCTAAGCCCTAAATGAGCTGTTTAAAGCTTAAGGTGCGCTTAGCTTGGGCTTAAGCTTAAGCCTAGGCCTAAGCTAAGCATAGTTCAGGCTAAGTTAAGTAAAGGCTTGAGCTGAAAGCCAGGTAGCTTAAGCGGAGCGCCTTGTAACCTCTTACTACCAAATTCGGATTGCCCCCCCCCGCCGCCCCCCTATTGCCCATATGCCCCCCCATGCTCTGCTTAGGGCGACAAAAACGCCGAAGCCGACAGCACCGAGGCCGTCAAGCGAAATGCTCACCGCGACGAGATAATCGAGAAGCCGCTGGAACCGGACGTGGCCAAGGTATCTATCCTTTCCAACAGCGCGGGCAAAACTAGCCTTTTTGGCATTACGTACGGGGGAGATATCTGTTTGTTAGGGACCAATTTTTTAAATTTAAGGCAGGGTCTTACAGTCCTACATAGTTTTTAGAGATAAAACAATCTAAAAAACAATAGAAGTTTACGAAAAAAATTTCTTTGGAGAAAAATGTATGAAACACGGCCAAACGGTCAAAATGTTCGAAATTCCAAAATTTTTAGAAACCGGGGTTGAAAAGCCGCTTCGCGACTTTTCAATCCTGGTCCGGTCGGATCCCATGTCCGTCGTGTCCCGGATTCAACTCGAAGGGTGAAGTAGCTAGGGCTTAGGTCTCTTCGGATTCGGATAGGGTGTGGTCAGAAACCCTCCAACTGATAAAAATTTTTTGAAAAAGTGTTTGTTTAAATTATTAAATTTAATTTTGAAAGTTTTCCTTAGTAAATGGAGTGGGGGAACGTACTTTGGCGAACCAGGCGCGTTTCGGCGCGGGGGGCGCAGGTGGTAGTCCGAAATCCAGCCGCGGTAAGCGGCTGGTTTGCCAGGAATCAACGCAGGGGGGTCGTGGACCGGATTTCGGAGCCCCTTTAATGTGCGGTTTAGGAAGGAGAGCTGCGCGAGGACCAAGGTGCTAGGTCGCCAGAGGGCCTCTTCAACACCCACTTGGCTGCCAAAACGATCGCCATCGACGAGGCCGACGAGGTCGTAATTCATTTCAACTAACGACTCAGCCTTCAAGGGGCCCCGAAATTCCAAAAATTTGGGCCACGGCCCGAAAACAGGAGCCCTGTACGTCGGATGCCTCTGTACACCACCGAGTGGCCCCGGGAGGCTCGCAAATTGAAATTCTCTGTTGTCGCCTGCAAATCACGTTCTTGGCTGTTTCTGGGCCGACATTGATGATTCAAACACCAAAACTATTAAAAATTGAGCGAAAAAATGAGCTCAAAAATGCGCGAATCTGACAAAGAAACCGTGCAAAAAAGATTTCGCGCAAAATCGCAAGGCCTTCGTCCCGCAGCGCCAGTTGGCAATTTGGCAAAAATCAAATAACCCTCCAAAAGGGATTTGATTATGGCAATTCGGTGCCCCAAAAAGGATTGCGTCAGAAATAGCCAAAAAAACAACAATGTGCGGTTTAGGAGCCTACCGACCCGCCCAAGACTGAAACCGCGCCCTCACCCACCGGCACCGAGGAGCGCCAGCCCGAAGACTTCAACGCGTCCGACGATTCTGGGGAACAAGACGACCAACTGGAGGTAGAGGTCCCGATGCTTTTCAACTAATTATTGACATTTGTTTTAAAGGGGTAGCGCCCTCCGCCGCAAACTTGGGTAATTCAACCCAGATTTGGGGTATGGAAGGTCCCGTTTGGCCGATCCGCTGAACTATCATACCGGATCGGTGGACTAGGTCCGCGTCGTTTCCCCACCAAAAAGACGCACACCTGGCCCACTGATCGAACCTATTCGCCAAATGATTGCCAACTCGAACCAGAAACTGGAGACCATTCATTAATTTATTAAAGTTCTATTTAGGTTCTCAGCCGCTCACCGAACGGCGATTTGATGACGACAGGCGCCGGAAATACGCCTTCAAGATCTCCGGAGGTGACTACTGCGGACTCAACGGTAATATTATCATTTTTTTTTTCGGGATCTGGATCTCCATCAGTGGTCTTGTTGTCCCCATCAAGTCTCGGAAACGGCGCGAAAATTCGCCTTGTAGCTTCCGGAAAAACGCTCACCTGGCCCACTCATCGGTGCCAATTCGGTCCACTACCCCTCTATTCCCATCTATGAAAGTTGATTTCAATCATGGCGAGGCACGCGGTTCTGGCCTACAATTTGCCTTGTGATCCTCTACAGCCCTAACAGAATACGAGCCAACTTTATACGATTTTCCTTAGTTTTTAGATGTGAAATCAATATTAAAACGATATAAAACCGAAAGTTTTGAATTTTTTGTCAAAATTTATGAAAAATGACCAACAGATGGCAAAATTTTCGAATTTGCAAATTTTTAAAAATTGTTTAATACGTTCCTAGCAATCCAAAACTACTGAATACACAATAAAAATCCATTTATCATCAATAGGTTTAAAAACAAAAAGTGGTTGCTAAACCCCCCCGCTAACAGTCCAGAACACATAGTCTCTAGATATTAAAGTAGACCATGCTTGACCAAGCGTTGCAGGTGGCGACTTTGACTGACGATGATACGGCCAGCGAGACGGACACCGAACGAGAGACTACGCCCCTCAAATTGGTATACGAGGTAATTTACCAAACATCAGACTCGAATGCTTGAAATTCAGCCGGGGCGCTGCGCGCGATGTCCCGCGAGCGCGGGCCGGAAGAATGTCAGCTGCTACTACAGGGCCCCAGCGTGCTCCAAGCACGTCCACCAGTATCGGTGGGTTTCCACAAACGTCTCCAGAGGGTTGATTCGACATCACGATTGCCATTTTAATTCACGAATTTTAGGAAAACATTGAACATTCGCCAAAAAATCACTGCAAAACATTGAAAATATTTTTATAACTTTCAAGCAATAAAAAGGCTATAAGAATAGCATATACAGGATGTCCAAAAAAGTCCCCCACCCCCTCTAGCCGGCCGCAAGCATTTCCTTTACGATTTAGAAATCGATCGCAAGCTTGCGAAAATTTCGCATTCGAACTCCGATTTGAAATTTCGGAATTTTTCCTCGATTTTTCGCATTTTTTTAATGTAAAAAGGACACGCTTTTTTGTTACACTAACTCAATTTCACCGGTTTCAGCGCTATCCAAGCTGCGTTTTCGCAAATGCTCTTGAAAAAGCTGGCGATGGGCTCCCAGGAAAGGCGTCAAAATCCTTAATTCGGGATTTTTATAAAAAACCCCTTGGTCAGAAAAACATAAAAAAATCCGCACTTTTCGCAAAAATATTAGAAAATGGAAAAGCACGTGGAAAACAGGCATTGGCTATTTCTATGCCATGAAGAAGTGTACACTTACAAGGAGACGTTTTTTGGTGTGAATGGAGTTCTGAGTTGAAACCAGGCCTATTTTGTGCAGAATTTTGCGCTGATTCCGAATATGTTTTCCATTTCTGCTAAATAGCTCGATTTCAAAAGTTATAGCAATTTTAAGGTCATTTTAGCCCAAATTTTCCCCTCTTTAGGGACCATTATATTGCTTTTCCCGGCTGTTTTTCCAAAAATAAATATCGTCACGGTATTCAGAAAAATTTTCTCTATCGAATGAGCTATTTAACTCAAAATTGTTGAAAATCGAAAAAATCGACGATACTTGGTATGGGCTGCGATTTTTGTATGGGAAATGGTGAAAAACAGCTTATTTCTCATCCCTGTAAGCCATCGTCGATCGGCAGTAGCGCACTAATCAAATATACCATTCGAATCAGAAAAAAATTCTCTACAAGATAGGCTACTTAAACAAAATGAAAACGTTATAACAAAAAAGTAGCACAGCATAGCATATGGCTACTCGGGGCCTAAAAATTATCTTAAAATAGCTGTAACTTTTTAAATCGAGCTATTTAGCAAAATTGGAAAACAGCATCGGAATCAGCGCAAAATTCTGCACAGAATAGGCTTGGTTTCAACTTAAAACTCCATTCACACTAAAAACCGTCTCCTTGTTAGCTTACCCGCTCGGCATATTTTTCGAAGTAACGAAGTTTCGAAGAAATGACTTTTCGAAGTAATGACTTTTCGAAGAACTGACGTTTCGAAGTAATGACGTTCGAAGTAATGACTTTCGAGGAAATGACGTTTCCCCCGGAGAGGCGTGCTGGACTCGCCTTTTCGCGAGCTTGCGATAGATTTCTAAATCGTAGAACTCGGCTAGAGGGCGGATTTTCTGGGAAACCATGTACAAGGTACTCTTTTATTTTGTTTTTATTGCTAGAAAGTTATAAAAATATTTTCATTTTTTGCGGATTCGAAAAATATTTACGAACGGAAAAAGAAAGAAAAACGAAAACATTTTGAAACATTTTGACGAATGAGTTTTATAGTTTTTATCACTTTTGGTAGCAAAAAACCATGTGAAATGCTATAAAAATGGTACTATTTTTTCATAGGCACGTACGGAAATTATTGGAAAAATTTGATTTCCCCCGCTGAGAATCCCCACTACACCCCCCCGCTAACAGTCCTGTACCGGAATTTCCTCTATCGCTATCAAAAACATAGAAATATTCTACTTGCAGTCGTCTCCTGCTGCGCCACAAGCAGCGCACCACCGACGAATGCTCCTGCACGCCACGCCGTGGGATCGCATTCCAGTTATGTACCCGGGCTTTTAGGCCGTTGTCCTACCTGCAACTTCGCCACTTGGACTCGTTCGGGCTTTGGAGAACATGTTGCAGATGAGGAAGAGGAATGATCAAGACGACAAGCACGACCGCCACCTGCACCGAAATGCCCGACTTCCGGCCACCTACCCAGCCCCCCCCCCCCCCCCACGACTTAAAGCCTTGACTTGTTTGGTTGTTGGGTAGAATTAGCAACGCCTTTTGCCAGCTAACTTTTGCGATTGACAATCTAAATTCGCAGCAACCTCCCGGTGTCCATCTCTCAAGATCGATTGCGCACCAGCCTCGAGCAGGGCGTTCCCGCCAATTTTCAGCTTACTGCCCTGATCTGCTCCGCATTTCACGCATATGTACACTAGCAAGCGCCGGAAACATGAAAAAGGCCCTCGTCGTTTTTGGATTCTATTAAATGAGGGAAAGTCGTTGTGCAAAATGAACTACGGGAGGTTGTCCAGAGTTGGATTCTATCAAATGAGTAAGATGGCAAAAGTTTTGCCAATGCACCAGCAAAACTGTCCCTCTTCGTCATTGCCAGCGTAACCTTACAGTCATTATATCTCACGTCCATTGCAAAAACGAGAATTGGCCCGTCCTCGACTATCTTTCCGTGTTAACCCCGCCGTGCCCGTCGAATAAATCCTTTAAAAAAACGTTTCCAGATCTAAACAAGCACACCTGGCTCCACAAAAATGCATTTTGATGGACCTGCAACATCGCGACGTAAAATGCATTAAACCATCGATAATTCAAGAATACAGACATCAATTGCATTCTTTATCGACGCGATAATGATCTAGGCTGACCCTCTTCATGACGTCCCAGCGTGCCGGCCAGTGCGTTGCCGATCTAGGTCCATCTGTTCGCAAATGTTCACAACGCCATTGCCGACTGCTTAGCGTCATGAACACGCTCGGTTTCTTTGGAATCTGAAAACATGTGAGTCATGACACCGAGGCGTTAAAATAGCTCCTGCTCATACTACGAGCTTCAGAAGGTTGGACCCCCCATATTCACCTAGCGGCTAAACACGAAATTTCTAACGCCTCGTTCTCATCATAGCTTCATGAAACAGCCCCTTTAGAAGGTTCCCTAGCAAGATTTAGAATCTCAAAACATGTGAGTCATGACACCGAGGCGTTAAAATAGCTCCTGCTCATACTACGAGCTTCAGAAGGTTGGACCCCCCCATATTCACCTAGCGGCTAAACACGAAACTTCTAACGCCTCGTTCTCATCATAGCTTCATGATACAGCACCTTTAGAAGGTTCCCTAGCAAGATTTAGAATCTAAAAACATGTGAGTCATGACAACGAGGCGTTAAAATAGCTCCTGCTCATACTACGAGCTTCAGAAGGTTGGACCCCCCCCCATATTCACCTAGCGGCTAAACACGAAACTTCTAACGCCTCGTTCTCATCATAGCTTCATGATACAGCACCTTTAGAAGGTTCCCTAGCAAGATTTAGAATCTAAAAACATGTGAGTCATGACAACGAGGCGTTAAAATAGCTCCTGCTCATACTACGAGCTTCAGAAGGTTGGACCCCCCCATATTCACCTAGCGGCTAAACACGAAACTTCTAACGCCTCGTTCTCATCATAGCTTCATGATACAGCACCTTTAGAAGGTTCCCTAGCAAGATTTAGAATCTAAAAACATGTGAGTCATGACACCGAGGCGTTAAAATAGCTCCTGCTCATACTACGAGCTTCAGAAGGTTGGACCCCCCCATATTCACCTAGCGGCTAAACACGAAACTTCTAACGCCTCGTTCTCATCATAGCTTCATGATACAGCACCTTTAGAAGGTTCCCTAGCAAGATTTATAATCTAAAAACATGTGAGTCATGACACCGAGGCGTTAAAATAGCTCCTGCTCATACTACGAGCTTCAGAAGGTTGGACCCCCCCATATTCCCCTTGCGGCTAAACACGAAACTTCTAACGCCTCGTTCTCATCATAGCTTCATGATACAGCACCTTTAGAAGGTTCCCTAGCAAGATTTAGAATCTAAAAACATGTGAGTCATGACAACGAGGCGTTAAAATAGCTCCTGCTCATACTACGAGCTTCAGAAGGTTGGACCCCCCCATATTCACCTAGCGGCTAAACACGAAACTTCTAACGCCTCGTTCTCATCATAGCTTCATGATAGAGCACCTTTAGAAGGTTCCCTAGCAAGATTTAGAATCTAAAAACATGTGAGTCATGACAACGAGGCGTTAAAATCGCTCCTGCTCATACTACGAGCTTCAGAAGGTTGGACCCCTTCCCCATATTCACCTAGCGGCTAAACACGAAACTTCTAACGCCTCGTTCTCATCATAGCTTCATGATAGAGCACCTTTAGAAGGTTCCCTAGCAAGATTTAGAATCTAAAAACATGTGAGTCATGACAACGAGGCGTTAAAATCGCTCCTGCTCATACTACGAGCTTCAGAAGGTTGGACCCCTCCCCATATTCACCTAGCG